GTTAATTACAGGTAATTCAGTATAAGTTATATAAAAATTAATCGATGGTGCAGATCAGACCACTGAAGGAAAATTACGAACTGAGAAATTGTTCATTTGAGCTGGTCTTTTGACACCATCACCAAGAAAATGAAAGATTGAAACTTTCTTTACAAACAATCTCTAATGTGATTTGAGGCTAGTTTTATCGAGCGTAATATATAAGCTTAAAATGTCAGAAAATTACCTCGCAGAAAACTTGTCTTGCACCAGACTCGTAGAAACTTCCGATGATGATCCTCGCTCCTTTTTCCTAGAAGTAAAAAGTTACTGTAATTAAATTTCCAAAAAACTCAAAAGTTACAGCCAAATCACGGTCAACGATTACTACTCCGCAATAATAACTGTGTTACCATGATGTTCGCTAACTGGCGAGCTGGTTTCCCGGTGAAGCTTTCTCCTGCTACAACCTCAACCTTCATTTTAGCAAGTAGCTTATGCAGTTCTTTTGTGGGCTAAAAGGAAAAAATCAAACTGGCAGTTTGTCTGTGACCCTTTGAATCTCTATCGAAGTGGAGATAACCGCATTTTATTCTTCACTCAGGGTTTCCTTATCATTAAATATTGAGTCATTAAATATCACGTTTCATCTATTCATTTGTTCATCATAAATGATTGCAAGTCTAGCAGTTCCTTTGGTGCTGATAGAAGAATGATCTTGTTTAGCAATGTAGCACTTACTTTGTCTGCACACAAGTTAAAATATCGTGCGCCGCAATATGTAATAGCCATACCTGTGAAAATATTCCCGATGGTTCGTTCTGATGTAGTGTGGCGACTCTTTTCCAATCGTACTTGGACAAGAGCGCGGCACGTGCTGGGTTGAACGCTAAGTCTGACGAAATAGTGCGGAAAAATCGAGGGTAAAGTTCACGGTTGCTTAAAGCTGGAGACGTGGACGCGTAGGACACCTGAAAACCAACCACGGAAATCAGAACTTTTTTAGAGGCCTCCAATAAAAAAAAAATAAAGATTTTTTGTCATGTGTGTTTGATATCGCCAATCAGCTGCTGACAGCTGCTAACACGTCACTCGCCTTTTGCGCCAATCGGTCAGGTTGATTAATGAACGACCAAGGCCTTCAACATTCTCAATCCATGGTTGTTTGTCGGAATCTTCGCGGATTATGGGTGCTAAAACACTGAAAAATCCGTATCGCTTACAGACAGTGATGTTCAAACTTTCTTAGATGGAGAAGAGCCAAAATACGAAACGAAAATCCGAAAGTTACGTATTTGTTGGCTTTGGTAAAGGTAGTTCTCGTGGCCGAGAACGAAAATGACAGCTGGAAGATTTGCCAGAGGCCGCTTTTGGCTATTTACCTGAAAGATTTCTTCTGTTGGTAAGGACAAAGTCAATAACTAAGAATTTTGTATCTTAAAAATCACACCCATTTTTATTTTTTGTAGTAAATCAACGCATTTTTTTCTTCTTGAGCCTTAGCGCCGACGCGGTACGATTTTTATTCGGGGATTGTCGAACATTTTATCTTTATTTAAAAATGAAGTCAAATTTTTTTGTCAGTAAAAAGCTACTGTGTTTATATAACAAAGCCTTTGGCTCGTGCTTCTCGACGCTTCTCGCGTGTTCTTAAAAATTCTCAAGTGCTTAGATAACTTAACAATGCACTCGGCGATTTTTTTATTTCTTTATTAATCATATATATATATATATCACGCAGAGGAACCGAGAGAGAAGTTGTCCATAACTTAACAACAAGATAAGCTCATTTTTTTGTTTTGTTTTGTATCGTTTTTAGAACTGCACTTTGTGGGGCTACTCAAACTTATCACAATATCACGGAACAGATAGCGAGTTGCGTTACAAGAGTTTATGCATTTGTGATCTATGATGTATCCCGCGACGGCTTTTGCTAGTGTTTAAAATTAAACTGTATTTATTTATTTACAGTTCAAGATATGCTCAAATCTTACCTGTACTAAATTCCAAAATTTAGCGGTTTCGGCTATCGGCTGAGAGACTGGAGAGAAAGCTGCCCCGAGAAGCATTATTTTGTTCGGCTCTTTGTAGATGTGGTCGTATAGCATATGCATTCCCACTCCAGGGTCACACTGAAATTGTCAAATAAAATCCATGAAATACAAGATATTGGTCTCAAGATACCCCTGAAACAATTTTGGAAATCAGTGTGTATCAAAGTTACCCGGCCTGAAAAGGTTTTTTTTCTGTATTCTTCAAAGATGCTGCGCTACTCTCACGACTAATAGGATGAAATTAAAGCAAGTCTCCACCTCTGCGTTCGCGCTTTCGCACACTTTAAGCTTTGCTCCGATTGGTTGTGGTGGTTCCTACAGTTAACAATTATTCACCGAAGTGGAGGTGAATAGCGCGGGCGAAAAGCACTTTTCTTTTGTGTGGTATATACTAATTGTAATTATTGGCATATTTGATTTAAAAGTGCTTTTAATCGGTCAGGAATTCACAGTAATTTAACACAGACAGACCTTTGTATCGTTCAATACCATCTCCAGTCTATATCCAGGTAAGACATCTTTTCGGTTATTGATTTGTTTCAGAGCTAAATCCATTACCAACTTAACAGCAAATCCACCGTCCCAGCAAGGTCCGCTTAATGGTGAATAGGAACCAATCGTTAAGACTTTCAAGTCATCAGACGAAACTACAAAGACAGAAATCCAAGTAAATGTCATTAATAATAGAGGATTTCCTTAGAGAACATGAAAACATTAAAAGCCTCAGTGGAGGGTGACTGAGAAACTTTATATATTCATACTTTGCCAAAAAGAGCTCAATATAAACAAACAAAAGGATCCTTAAAAAAACCCTTGCGTCTTTTCAGTAATAGCTACAGGAATATTTTAGAGTACGTCAGAATACTGAGAAGCTTTGATGATGCCTGGTTTCGAAAATTGCTGTCAATTTATTCCAGCTCGTTATGCTTATTATTATTATTATTCGCAAATAAAGAAATTCTGTCGCTATGTTTGGTTCCATTTTCTCCAGCTTCATAATTTCTTTGGAAACTCTGATTCGGTAAGTTATAAACGAAAAAGCATCAGGATGGCTCAGGGATTGCTAAAGATGAAGAATACTAAAAAAACAAATACGAATGGTAACTGGAGGTTCAAATTTGAATTTTAAGCCTTTCACGACGAGCAAACTACAGTTTAGTCCTTAATAAATTCTCCTTTTGAAAGGCCAGAGAATGTTTAAAGATTGCTTTTGCCACGAGATACCATGCTACTGGGTCACGTAACGCAACTAGAATCTTCGCTATCGGATAACAGAGTTTACTTCAGTCATTAGAAGACATGCACACAACCAAATTTGCAATCTAAGACATCGCGGTAGAAAAATTCCCATCCAACAACGTTGCCTTGTTTTACAATTTCTACAATAGTGTACATGTCACTGGAACGTATTGTTTGAAAGGCATACACCACAAAAGAACAACACACGAGACTAAAGAAATGATGTCGTTGTTAAGGTAAGACGAAAGTTTACGCTTTCGTCCTCCGGATTTGTTTCAGTTGTCACTCACCTTCGCTCAAAGTACAACATAAAAAAACGAACAAAGATTTCGCAAAGACTATCCTCAGATCCGTCATGTTTTAGGACCAATTTCTAATTGCCTTCACTCGATACAAATCTGTGGTATTTTAGCGTGACTAACCCAACAGGGAAGTTTTGGTGTTCATAATCCAAGTGTTATCTTTCTCCAGGAGAGCTTTTAGTAATATATGCCACATGTACAGCAAACGAAAAACGTCAGCACAGTGAAGCTTTCCCATCCAAGTGAACTCATTCAAAACAGACACTGTTGTGTTGTGTGATAGCATTCCTTTTGCACTTTGTTGTCACTTTTCGCATAAATCCGCTTTCAAGCAAACGTATCTGTCATTCAAGCACCCTCAAGGTCATGTAAACATATAAAACAATTCCAATCTGACTGAGCTATTTAAGAATACCTTAAGGAGCCTTTTCCGCCAAATTGCTTTGCTATTTTTACTAATATGGTTGCCATGAATAAGCCTCTGTAGTCTCCAGACTCGTGCAGGAAACAATGTGTCCGTCAATGAATCAGGCTTTTGTCCTAGTCTCAAGTCAATAAGGACTGAATCCAAATTTAATCTTTACTTTAGCATACCTCACGCCTCATTGTTTTTTAAAAACTATAATTAATTTACGGCAATGATACAATAGGCATCGTATGTTGAACACGATAATACCCGATACCACGTTTTCATATCCGCTAGACTGGGCTGGATTCTCCGTTAGTGAAACGAGAGAAAGAGCGGACGCGTAAAACGGAAGGAGCCGCTTCCATGGCAACCGCAACCACATTTGTCGCTCGAACATTCTTTCGCTCGACTCCACAGCCCTAAACAGTTTCCACATCAGAAGGCCACAGGCTCGAGGGTTTACGTGAATTCACAACGACATTTTAAGGGTTTATGTGAATTTTGTTTTGTTCATTTTCAATATATCATTCATGCAGTCTAAGGTTTATCAAGGTCGTCTCTCAAAAGGCATTAACTTATAATATACCCAGACACTTCTCGAAAGATGAGCCCACGTACAAAGACCGAACATGAAAGAAAGGCGGAAGTCGAGCCTGTGTCTGTTTCTGTCTGATACGAAAGCTTTCCATAACGCCTTTCGTTGAAAACTTTGGGAGGGTTTTTCAGTAAAAATCACTAGATATGTTTCAGGAGTCTTAGGTTCATTGCAATGTCTTGTTTACATTTCGGTTACGAAAGCGGAACAGTGGTTTACGCCGCGAAATGTAATACCGACGCAAAGTAAATTAACGTTGATTTCTGGTATGTCGCGTTACTACGTGGAGATGGTTTTATAGAAAACAATGCAAATGTTTTCGGCAAAACTAAAAACGAATCAAAGCGAATCGAAGGTAAAACAAAGAAAAATAAAATACAATTATTCAAATATTGGACGGTTTATTTATTAACCTTCTAGAAGTATTAAGAACTTCTCAGTTCTATGCCGTCTGGCTCGTTCTTATGCGTGATCTCTCGCATTCCTTTTCAAAGCGATCTCTGTTTTCAAAAACCACTAATTCTCTAAATCATCTCCTCAAACTTTGCCAGCTTCTTTGCCAACTTATTTCCTCCTTCTCAATAGTGCCAAAGAATGTTGGCAAGTTGACTCTTTCTAAATTGGCTTTAGCTCTAACGAGTCTTTCAATTTTTCTATTCCGTTTCTTCGGAGGTCTCAGGGGCAGCACTGTACCATGGACTTGTTTCATCGTAATTGTTCAAGTCGCAGTATGGTACGTCCTTGGTCATTATCTCCTCCAGTTTTCCTACCAAGTCTGCGAAACTTGGGCGAGTTGTTGGATCTTCCCTCCAGCATTCAGTCATCAACTCATATCTAAAAGTGACAAATATAAATGCAGGCGTTTACAACGTAGGGATGTCGCAATTCAAAGTTCTCACAAGGACATCGATGCACTAAATTTGACACCACACACGTATAACCGTGATTCCAATGCAATTCATTGCAGAGTAATAATCTGATGTCAAACACGTCAAACGATGGTCCTCTCTGTACGCCTGAGTAGAAGTCGCAAATGAACTCAGCAATTAACTTCGCAGATAACACTCTGGCAATAACTCTCTCTCAAGCAACAACGCACGAGGTCCTATAGTAGCCCTTTTAATCTTAAGCGTCACTAATGTCTAACCCAACTTAATCTTTAACTTAACAACAGTTACAACAAAAGCAGTTGTGATTGAGTTTCGATGCAGATGAAGTTATTTGATTGATCTAACAGGTGCCTTTTGATCGTCTCGTCTGATCGTTTGAGTGAAAATACTTCTTAGATGGACTTTTATTGGGGATAGTTACCGACGTTTCGATAAGCTAGGCGGAAGTCATCATCAGAGTTAGGCGAGGAGTTATTAGCCAATTAATCGAGTCTTAAAAATTCTGGTTGGTGAGAACTGAGCATGTGAGCAAAGTAAAACGGAGAAAAGAAAAAACAAAAAAAATAAATTTAAAAAGCGGAAAAAAAGAAAAAGAGCAACTGTGGAAATAACCATGGTAATAGCAAACACAGCTAACCATGACAAAGGCAAATGCATCAATGATATTTTAAAAAATCATCCCCTAAAATGCTGTTGACCGTTACACAGTCATGATGCTTACACTTCATCAGAGCACATGTCAGGTCTCCCCATAAGATAACCTGTCTTCAGTAGCTTACACAATTGGGAATTAGTTAGCGTTGGGTATGGAACTCCTCCTGTGTAGAAGATGAGACGAAAATCACTACACCGGTATAAAGGAAACAAGTCCAACAATTATTGAAACAAAAAGATTTCAGTATAGGTTGTAAAAGAAGCCACATTATTGGTTGATGTTTTAAGCACACGACACGATCTCCTTATCCATAGGCATGAATGGCAAAGGCTCTAAAATAATTCACTTACGGCAAGGTTGATACAAAGCACTAAGAGGAAATAATAGGAAGTTATTTTCTCTTCAAAGCACGAAACACCAATGTATTCATAAAAGTACTTGCAATACCTACGACAAATATTGCAATTGTATATAATAAGCGTTAACATTTACCGTGCATTCAATTACAAAAAAAATGGTCACCGAATAAAACGGCTTTATTTGTCACGACGTGAAATAACTAACCCGGTTTGAATTGGACACACATACTATCAATCTATCATCTATCTACAAAAGCTGAGAAATCAAAGGGAATTTACCCATTGTAGCCATTTCCCATAAAAGCACTCCATAGGACCATCTGTGGAGGAAAAGAAGAAATGCCTCTTTAAAAGCTTTACACATTGCTTCTAATTCGAAAAAGAAATATCCCTCCAATACTATGATAAGTTTAATTGATATTTGTTTTGCTTTATTTTTCTTGTCCAATTTCACGAACCTGATGATATTTAACGAAGAACAATTTCTTCGGCTTAAAAAACTCTTACACGGAGACGAATACCTACACATCACTTTTGGTAGTAAAAACACTGTAATAAATCGATTCTGGAGCCATCCATTTGATAGGGAGTTTCTTCGTCTTTTTGATGGTGTAAACGTCTTCATATACTTGACGCATCAGCCCAAAATCTGATACTTTAACTCGATTATCATTGCCAACCAGAACATTACGGGCTGCTAGATCACGATGAACGAAACCCCTCTCGTCAAGATGATTCTAGAGAAGAAAAAAAGAAACTGGTGAACGGCATTTAAAAATTATTCAAGGTTGCTTTCTTCAAATAACAGTTTGAAAAATCTGGACCCATCCCTTTCTTTCTTTTTTGTAACTTTATTTGGTCTTCACCGCTGACTTTTCATATCGTAAGATTATTCAAGAGATTTGAGAAATAAACTTGAAATTCATTCTCTGTGGCAGTTCCCTTTGGTGAATCGCTTCTGCGTAACATTTATAGTATTCTTTCTTTTCACGTGTCTTTTTTTCAGGATTACAATCATACGTTAAACGGCAGAGACAAGGAATTTATTTCAATTTTTACTATTACAATTTGGTAGGGTAAATAACTTTGAAATAGAAATAACTGAAACATCAATAGAATAGTTGAGAGATATTATTGAATGAATTAATGATACCATTCCTCTTGCTATTTGTGCAGCAAAAGAAAGCAGCTGCCATGTGGAAAAGTCCTTCTCTCCTACTTTTCCTTGTTCTGTAGCTTCAGTTGAAACCAACTGTGATGGCTTTATCTCTGACTCGGTTTTCTTTGATAAATGTAGAAAAAAGAAAGAAAGAAAATATAAGCTAGATAAACAGATAAGTCCCACAAGAACCTTATTTTGTCATACATGTACTGATCAGTTTATTGAAAGGTTTGCATTGTGTCCTGAGCCACACAGCGTACATCCCACTTTTGAGTGTTATAGAAAGAGTGTATAACTGGGGAAAAAAGCAAACGAACAATGAGCATCACTAGAGGCTTACTACGTCGTAAATTGAATGTTTCTCCCTCGTAGTCTTTCGTTTTACCTAATTTCTCTCCTTCAGTTACATTTTATGTGCATATCCAATGTAACATATTTTTGTTGGGCGCAACCCCATTTTTTTTTTATTTGACTTACTCACTTGGCATTGATTGCTCTGTGGTTCTTTTTCCTCATAAAAATTCTCTGCTCGTTTTTCCTCTGTGGCCAGATACAGATTGATCTTAAGAACAATAAATAAACGTTTTTGAGAAATCAGAGGATCGCAGGATAAGAGAATAACAGAAAAACAACAACTTTCAGTATGCAATGTTTCTGAAAATGATTTGAGGCCTCGTCTGAAGTTTCACTTTATCCAACCATCGCAAAATTCTTAAACACACGCTTACGTACTTATCTGTCTCACTGGATTCTAACAATGAATTCAACTACTTGTGCATTTGTTAATGTCGAATATAAATCGTTTTTGTTTTTGTTTTGTTTTGTTTTTGAAGGGGAGAGGATGTAAGCATACCTGGATTGACTATATCACAAATATGAGTGAGACCCTGTCATTTTAAGAAGCGAATGTCGGTCAGAAAGTTATGACTGAACTTGAAAAGACCATAATTTGATCCACAATCTTCTGGTCCTTGTGCAAAGATAGCAATTGAAGAAATCGAAAAATTCCAAGCTTGGAAATATATTATGTGCTTGAATCAATGACTTCCGTGTACTTGTTAGTCGTCTCTAACAACTGAGATACGAAGCCTGAAGTTGAAAGCGAGCAGAAAAATTGTAGCAGCCCCCTTATAATGCCCCCTTGCAATTAAAATGTCTGGTTTGGGAAACTGGATCTAAATTCTACTGAATATTCATTAAATATTTTCCCCACCGATTGCCTTTTCTTTCGTAACCAGTCTAACAAGTCACCATATGGAACATACTCCAACACCAGGAATTTGTGCTTGCGCAGTGTGGAACATCCAACAAGAGACACAATATTCGGGTGTGCAGCTAACAACTTCATTTGGGATATTTCATTAAGAAAGTCTAACACTTGTTCCTCGCTTGAATCAACTAGGGAAAACATTAAGGTGTTAGAAGTTTAAACATTTTGTTCCACGGATTTCCCTTTTGGAGACGCGACGGCCTTTGAAAATGTATACCCTCTATACTAAAGGACCATTAATTGGTGAAATCAAAGGTAAATGAAACTGAGCGAGTATTCTCAATTTTATTTCTATTTTATGTGAGATATAGCGAATTGAAATGTAGTTTCCATACCTCAAGCTTTATCCTTGATTCGTTTTGAAAAGTTTTCTTTCACGTATAAACCAACATAATATATAGCTTGATGGATAACTTTTAAAATGTGAAGTCTACATTTCCAAAAATATCGCCTTAACTACATAAATTTGGATGTTTCAGAGATGTTTAAGATAAAGTAAACTGAAGTAGAAAATTCGAAATTTGAAACAAAAATCGTCTTAAAAGCCTTAATAGGGTTTTAAAGTACCTTGCAATTCTTTAACCGCCACCACGTGGTTTATGTCATTTTGCTGCTGTTTTTTTCCAGGGTCAAAAATTTCAATTCCTTGTCGTTTCTTAAGAGTGGCCTTATAGACCACGCCGAAGGCGCCGCGGCCCAGCTCCTCTTCGTATTCTATTTCCTCAGGAAGAATTTCCCATTTGTCAAGTGCGATAATTTCACGCGTATGCCTTATTGATCTAAGAAAAACAACCACAAAGTCAGTCTTTTAAGATAACCAGATGTGGCTCCTCCTTTGTCACAGATTGTTTGAAATTCTGAGGGGTACCAGAGATTAAAAATTTTATAACCTACACTTTCATATGGAATATCTTTTCAAGACGCGTCTTGTGATAAAGACAGATTACTTTGTCGACTATTGGTTGGAAACGACCGTGATAGCAAGGAGTGTGACCGTCGAGATTCGTATGCACAGACTAGTGTTCTAAAAATTCCCACTGTCACGAAAAGAGCGAAATAATTGTTTCATATGTATACATCAGAAGTATTTTCTGTGTGTTTGACGTAATGAAAACACTTCTGATTTACTCATTCATGATAAACAATGGTTTGAATTGGATCGATGATTTGAAAACTGGAAAACATGCAAATTCACCAACGTCGTAAACCGCTACGTTCTCAAACATCCATGGAGAAGGCTAAAATGATCAGGCGAAATATTGTGTGCTTTACATTTGATGAATTTCATGATTTAAGTCAAAAACTATTACAACTAACAGGAAACGTAGTAATCAGCAAGTAGAATTAACCTTTTCATTTGCTTTTGATGTGACTTCCTGTAGCACCAGAAGCCTGTAATGAAGCACAGCACTACCAAGCCTGCAGCGGTAGCCAGTGATACGTACACTATCGTGTTGTTGACCTTCGAGGGTACTTCTTCTCCTGTCGCTGAAACTGCAAGAAAATATGCAAATCTGTGTTCACAGGCTTTCCCTATTATTTCACCTTCATGTAAGCTGACAAAGTACATTTCCAAGAATGTTTTCCTCGTCAATTTTACCTCAGCAGTGCAGGTGAAGAAAAAGGGAAAAAAAGACAAGACTATTCCGGAAAAGTACCTGTGTCCGAAAGATACCAAACCAGAATTTTTAATACGGAGAACTGTCAAAGAAAAACTTGCTGATTGTGAATTTCCTTATGTTGTTGACTTTAAAGGATTTCTATTCAGGAAATCACATGAACCTCAAGGGAATTCTGCACCGGAAGATTTTCTTTGAGAATAACCGTTTTCTGCCAACGTATTTGGCGGGTAACATCTCATAGACAAACGCTTTCGCTAAACCAAATTTAACATTCTAAGTTTAAACGAAGTTTTTCTTTAAACTCTCCTATCAACATCTTCCTCCTGTGTTGGTAAACTCAACAGGAACGTTTTTGCTCATGTTTACCTTCGTTGCAAAGATTTTTGCCACAACATCGCACTTGGCAAGCATCACTTGACTCAACGCAACCAGCGAAAAAATATCCAGTGTTGTTACAGTTTAAGTGATAAGTGCACCCATACTCAAAGTGCTTAGTAACGCTGGATCCATCCCGTGAGGTCTGTTGCATCGAGGCATGATAACAGCGATCAGCCCTTGAACTCATACAGACGTGTTCATGGCGTCTTTTTTGGCATTCGTCGTGGGAAACAGTGCTGCTGCATTTGAAACAACTCAACTTCGATTCTACAATGAAGAAATTTGTTCGATTAGATGACTATATACAAAACTATTGCCAGTATTGTATTGTTAATAATCATGCAATTCAGCCTTATTAGGCTGCCATGCGATTTTTATTAAAGCTATCTATCTATCTATCTATTTATCTATCTTGTTCCATGCATAGCATCCGTATATCGATCGAGTTATGGATGCACGCGGAAAGTTTGGAGAGTGCGAGAGAAACGCTTGCTTCTTGAGTCCTCCCCGAACTTCCCGAGGGTGTCCATGACTTGATATACGCACAGCTAAAGCAACAACCAATTCCTTTATAACAGAGCATGCCGACACAAGTTATGCTCGAAAAAAAAGGGTTATTACAACTAAGTCGGGTTGAAAAGGTAATCGTGTCCTACCCGGAAACTATGAATGAAACGACCAAGAAATATTTCAAGACCAAATCTTTATTCAAAGAATTGTTAATTTTCCGCTCAGAAGCGAAAAACGAACGAATTTCTTGTATGCACGTGACCACGTAGTAGATTCAGCATGCTTGAATCTTTGTTTACTAAAATCTACGGCCAGAATATTGTGTAGGTTTGACGGTGTTGTAAATTTTTAAAACTTATGAAATTAAAGGGTTTTTAAATCTTCTATTGAACAATACTTTAATATTAAAGGAAATATTAAAATTTAAAAATAATTTCAAAGCCAAAATTTCTTGCATTTACGAGTCACGTGTATTAGATTTACCCTGCTTGAATTGTTGTTCACTATAGTTTACGACCATAAAATTGCGTAGCTTTCTATTGAAAACTGTACGATTTCAAAACACTGAACAACATTTAGTGTGGATATCGATGCTTGAAAACAACATTTACCGTTCTAATGAAGAGTTCCCAAAGTCGCACAGTCTCAGTTGAAGTCAGAAAGCTCAGTTTTTTTTCAGCCATAATTCGCATTGCGTTTGAGAATGAAGTATAGTCAACTCCAAAATTAACTTCGTCGCTTGAAAGAACTTCATGCTCATTGTTTTTCTAAACGAGTATTATTTAGCATATCTACTTCTCGTTTTGAGCCCTAAAAGTTCTATTTCAATGGGGATGTAACGGAAAAAAATTTGAAATCTTTGAAACATGCGGCTAAACACGACGGGAACTTTCAGCCGAAGCGAAATTGCACACGTCGTGTGTTGGATGCACGGCCGTGCGGTACATATGGAGTTTTAGCATGGTAGTTCCATAGGAAGTAAGAAGACCTTGCGCGTGCGGTATCTTATAATATAAGATGATCAACTTGGTTATTTTTCTCAGTAGGGATGGGTTTTGACTTCTTATAAACTGAGGAAGAGAAATGATACGCGCATTTCGGCTACACTTAAAGCGATTCATCATACTGTTGTCATCATGTATATCTAAGTTTTGTATATTTTTTGTTGCAAATTTCTTCAGCAGAATTACTGTAACAGAGGTCAGCATTCTCTCATACCTTCATTTAAAAAATTTGGTAGATAGAGTAATAGTAATGACTGATTGATCGAAATTAACTTGAGATCAACGTATAGCAACATGTAACAGCAAGACTCATGAACAAGAACCTACATACAATAAAAGAAAGAAAATGAGAATGGAAAAAAAAGCTAAAGTTGTAATTACCTTTGTTACACAAGTTGTCGTCACAGCATTCCACAAATGATTTATCAGACGTGACTTTGCACTCTTCAGTTGCGGCGCACCCTTTGTAAAATTTTTGGTAGTTGCCTCTGTTGGAATATTTGAGTTTGACACAGCGGTTCCTTGGCAACGTACAGGACACTTCTGTTTGCTTCCTGGCACAGTCAGCAAATGATACGTTGCTTGTGCAATGATGACAGGTAATATCTGAATGAAAAAAAAAAAACTTGGAGCTACATCATTTTCTTCTGCAAGATGTTGGCAGACATTTTGCTAAGTAACGAAGTGGTCTGACTATTCTTCACCGATTAACTAAAGTTAATTTCATACGTTGCAAAATCAGGCATTGAAGGGATTGAACCCATGCTATACCTCAAGTATACCAGTTAGGCGCCGTTACCAATGGGACCACGAAGCCAGATATTGAAAGGGGGAAAAACTGGCCCTAATATCAAAATTTGCCATCAAGGTGCACCATTAACATCTACCTCTTTGGTCCCCTCGTCATGTCAGGAACCTTTGGTATCCAGCCTTGCACTAGCCATGGGCAGAAACCTGATTTACGCTTACCTTTATTGCAGAGGTTGTTTTCACAGCATTCTACAGAGTCCTTCTTTTCTTTTGTACACCGATCTGCTGAGGTACATCCTTTGTAGAAGACGGCGGCTTGTTCATTGTCGTCTTGTGTCGAATTTCTCTCCTTAAAGCAATACTGTTGTGGAAATGAACAGTTGACTACAACCTGTTGGGCTTCGCAGTCGGTGAAAGACGAGTTACTTGAGCACTGAAAACATGCAATACCTGAGAAAAAAATGATCATTTGATTGGTCAACGGTTTGAAAGAATATTTTTTTTTTCCTTTTTTGTATATTTGCTATAGTACATAACGTTTTTTCTCCGTCATGCCTGTTTTATTGTACAGTACTTTTCAGTTGCGGATGCTGTTAGATTGCTTATTGGATCCAGTTTTTTCGTGGGAAAAAAAGTCAAATGCGATGTTTTAAAGGTATTGTTTCGATTAATTAATAAAAGGACTTAAATTTGTAATGTGTCGGCGATCAACAAATCACTTGTATGATAACAGGTCAAATCGGATTCTAGTCAGTCTGTTACCCGAAGAGGCTATCGCAATTTTTTTTGTTTTGAAGATCATTTTTTTTGCTTACCACTGGCCGGCCGTTCACAGATATACAGAAACCAACGATCGCACTTCTGATCTTTCCACAAACCGAAGTATTTTTCAGCACCCACGACCACGCAATCTTCGCTATCGTTCCAGTTGTCAGGCTGCCTCTTTGCCCAATTAGTGAAGTTGACGGTACTGTTATCCACTTCCCACACAAATCTTCCTTCGTGATGGATGTCACTGAGGCCAATCCACACGTACTACAGAATAAAATGTCTTGCTTAAAAGCAAACCATCAGGGTGCGTCACAGCCTCATACACTATGCAAAACGTTTATGTTATTAATTTAAAAATATTTTATCACACCCGAGTGATCCAAGGTAATTCAGAAGATGAAACAATTTGGGCGTGGTTTGACCTCTCAATATCTTTAAACTCGAATTTCTGAGCAGTATCTTACAAAACAAAAGCAAATCCGGAAATACACATCCTTTTTCAATTCCAGCAATATAGAAACTATTTTCCTGGAAGGTAAAAAAAGTTTACCGAAAAAGCACGAATAGTGAAGGGCTACCAGCGCTATTGCGTATGGACATAAATTGGGATGTTTGAATCACTGTGGGGGACGCGGGGGGGGGGGGGATGGCTGAATTGTTCAAAGTGTTATGTTCTTAGGCAAAACACTTTTCTCTCACAATGCCTCTCTCAATCCCGGAGTACAAATGTGTACTGTTGAATTGTTAGGGAAGCCTGATGAAATGCCGAGGGGTAACCTTGCTATGGACTAGTATCCCATTTCAGAGGGGAGTGGTGCTACTCCTAGTCACTTCATGCTGAGGAGACCGGCATAAGCTCCGGCTGGGTGAGTCACTCGGCTCAAGTGCACGTTATACTTTTACTTTAAAGTAAATAGCACTAGATTTCTATCAGCAGTCAACTATTCATTAATAACGTTAAGGGCTGTTATCGGTAGTAATGGAAATATTACCTCGTTTGTCGTTGTAAGTCCTGTGATCTGGAGGAAGACTTTCGTAAAATTGTTCTCGGGTGCATCGTCTATTTTTATCAAATACCCATCAGATACATGACAGTCCTCTTTTGCAGCTTTCCAAGACGAAACAGATTTACTTCCTTTGTAACATGACGAGCCATAAAAATACCAAGTGGAAGGACACGGAAGTTTGCCTATAGAGGAAGCAAGATGTAGTTGACACAATAAAGCTTGTTTGATTTTCTTATGTACATTTTACTCTTTCCTGAGACTGCACCGACAGTTCTCTTTAAATCTTTACTTGACACCAATATCCATGTGATAAAGGGAGCACACTAACTCATTACAACAAGAAAACTCTGTTTACTAATCGGGTAAATTATCGTTGTCTTGCGTTGTTGAAGAGCCGTGAAAATTTCTGCTTTCGGTCAATCTTAACCCTTTGACTCCCATGAGTGACCAAGATAGTATTTTTCTTTAAAGTATCCATAAAATATCAAGCAGAATAGAGATGAGAATAAAGAAAAATGTAAACTGAAAAATTTTTAAAGGAAGGATTAAGGTGAGATTTTGTTCAAATTTCTCTCAGAAGCTCTCAAGCATCATTTATATGTGCATTTACATGTGCAGCAAGAAATTGTCTCAAAAGATTTTGAGCAGATAAATAACTTCGTAACACTGTTAGAAATGGCCTTTCTCTTGACTGATTGTTGACAGTTTATTTGCTATTCTTATTTCGATTGTAATCATCGACTGTAATTGTGATCATTCCACTTTGCAAAATTTTCTTCAAACTCGAAATTAAACAATAGACATACAGAGAAAAGGTGATCACTGCGCCTACCTCTCGGCTTCTCACAGATGTAATCAAAAGTATGAGAACAAGGATAGTCATGCCATCGTCTTTCGCTTATGCTGTGGGCAACACAGTATTCTCCTCCACTTGGTTGTCTCCCTGCCCAGTTATTGTAAACTGACCCATTGAAAAGAGTACCATCACTCCAGGCAAATTCACCATCATGGAGCCAGTCAATCAAACCAATCCAAATTAGTTCACTTCCGATACCTGACGATATCTCGTCAACAAAATCCATCTCTTTTTTGTTTGTTATACTAACAAGGTCTCCGCCAAATCCTAAACACACTGAACGAGCATTGCCCCAGCTAAGTTTCGTTGAGAAAAGAAAGTTGGTCATGATCTTGTAGCATGAGCTGTCAAAAGCTCTCCATTCAAAAGGACAGTCTAAAGATAAAGCGAAACATGACGAAACAGTCATTTTCTATGATCAACAAAAATTTATGGCAATGCTTGAAACGAAAACACAACATTGGCTGCATTTACTGTTTTACATGCTAAATAAAATCGTTTAGTAATAAAATATGTCAAAGTATTTGTTAATGCACTCACAAGTCATGTGCATAAATTAATGTCAAGACGCACACGAATCATTTTTCGACCAAACTCACCTAATTATTATATGCCGTTGTAGTATAACAAAAAGGTACAATTTCCATAAGAATGGCCAATGTTTTTCTCTTTAACCGATGGCAAAAAAATGTATGCAAATTTGAAAGGTAAACGAGAAATGTCTTTCAGCGGGCGAGCGACTGACCGGGCTGACCACAGAGAAGCTGTCAGCTCTAGGGAACCTTATTAACTTTTATGTAAGACACGAAAAGCACCCATTAGCAGTAATCCAGTAACCATACACCTGTTTAAGGGTGTAAGCATATCTTTTCTTTACACAATTTCACCATCAATCCTTTTCATGTTGTGGAAATTTCGAAATTATAATCATTGTAACGTGTGGTTGATTTGATCCTAGAATGATCGTGACTTAAGTGCAACAATTTAAGGTTACTTTTCATGAAAACAGTTTAGAACTCATCCCCACGAAAGATTGATTATGTTTACGTAAGTCTGCTATTTAAATAAGCGCATGTGGTAAAATTAATTAAGACAGCACGCGTGTTGTGAGGGTCATGAAAAACGTAGCGTGACAGTTTAGTTTCTTGAAATCCTTCCGATTAGAATTATTTTCCCTTTTTTGGCAGCTTAACAAAAATATTTATAATTTCTATATATCTTAAGAAAGATAAGGAAAGGAAAAACGAAAACGTACGTCATAATATGACAACTAATCCATCTCAACACAGCAGGTGTTCGGTAATCGAGGGGCTGTACTTGCTTGAATATGTAAAATATTACAGGAAAAAGATTGTTGGGAAAAAAAAACAATATCTTTTTTTCCTTGATTTCAGTATTGCAATCTTCACCCAACACCACAATGACGTAAATGGTGAAGTGATAACAGCTTTCTTTCACTTTTGAAGAAGCGTTTTGAATTCTGATTCGATATTGCCAATCGATTGAAGTATATCCGCGTATTTTGCAAATGTCCGTGTATGTTGTGGTAATGTTTAAAAATTTCACTTGTACCATGAAAGATCTTACCTTTAACGGCTGATGTAAGCAGCGGTCCTCTAAATATAAAGGTTACTGTTAACAAACTTAAGCATCTTGAAAGAAAGTACGACATATTTCGTGCAATCGCCTTCCAAAGCGTGCAAACTCGTAATCGAAGTATGGTTTACTTTTCCAAGAAATCAAATTCAGTTGCGTACCACGAAATAAAATTCAGTGACAACAGTCATGGCTGGCTTGCAGCCATTCTTTTTAGCAAAGCCATCCGTGAATGGAGTTAAACGTATTATATGAACTGAGTGTTAAATTCACCTTGTTGAATATTTATGTTATATGATAATTGCTGTTTACACAAGGGTCTAATAAGGATTCGCGATGTGTTTCGGTGAAATGAAAGCTAACTGTGCTGGGCACCGGTCATGTAACAAGCGCATATTGTTTTAGCACCGCCTCCATTGGCAACCGTAGGAAGTAGTATTTTTTGTTGTTTTTTTTTTTTGTTCCTTTTTATTTATTTATTTATTTTTTATTTTTTTATAACACCTCATGTCAGGAAACACGACACTGAATGCAAAGCCATAATAAAAGAATTGTTAAAAGGAAGACACTTACAAAGATTTTTCTGTAAAGGGTGATTAGTAGCCTAGCATTTTGCCAAGTAGTTAATGGCAGTTTATGTTACAAATTACGGGTCGGCATATTCCTTTCATGTGCCTCAATGTCTTTTTATATTAACAACAATTTTCCCAAAATTTAGTAAGCAATTTAGAAGTTGAGCCCGCAGCACTTTTTCTTCATATTTTTCAAGTTTTAAGACTTAACAGTACTGTGAACCTGAATTATTGCCTTTGAGCTCAGGACTTGCCATTTCAGAGGAATTTTTTACGTTGTTGTTTTTGTTTTTCTTGTGGTTATTGTTTGGTGACTTAATTTGCAGTTTCCATCACGATTACCATCATTTCCCAAAATCGTGAAAGAATCATTTCCGATTGTAGATAGGGTTTTCAAATAGTTTTTAATTCATGTAAGTTTTTTGCTTCAAATTACATAACAATGCGAGGCGTTTTCTTTACAGCGAATGTTAACCCAAGGAACCAGGTAATATAAAAAAAATTGTCCCTGTTTCTTATTCAAATTATGCCTAATCTGACCGTCACCTGCGTGTTGATGAATAGTGACGTTACCACTATTTCAAATTATTGTGTGCGAACTTAGAATAACGTGGATAAGACAGTTGTAATATAATGAATCTGAAGCGAAGGCCCTTCGTTGTTCAGTCAGATACGTATACTTGTATTGAAGCAAATGCTGCCGGAAAGAGTATGGCGATGATTTGGCGATGGTGAATCGAAAGTTTACACAGTTTAGATTGATGCCACACAAACTGCTTTCCTGGTATAGTGGCCATGAGCTTTTCATTGAAAGCTTGAAAAAAAAAATGTGACGGTTCCTTAGCCAGGCAAGAGCTTTTTCTTCTTCAAATATATGAAAATAAACATCTGTCAATCACAACACAGAATTGTTTATATAGCTGCCGGCCGGTCCTCGCAGGCAAGTCATGTTGGGTTGGTTCTTTAACATGCTGAGAAAAAGGGTTGTCAAAAAAATGAAATTATTACAGAGTATTCTTGAGCTTTTTTCTCAAAAGGAAAAATGCCAGGTTTGACGAGTTCCGAGTTGCAACAGATCTTTAAAATCCGCAATAATTCAATATACAAAAATAACTTATACACAGCTTGAATGTATAAAAAGGAAAAGATAAATGATAAGAAACTATCTTCCGTGGGGTTTTATCTGATTTTAAGCTCCGAATATTTTTTTGTCACTGTAAATTTCAAGTTCAGGAATATAAGCAAGCTGACTTTTTTCTTTTCAGAATTCGCCTTACCTTGATGTGCCAATGTAAACGAACATCTTCCCAACAAGACAGTCAACGTGAACAAAATTATGCATCTGGAGAGTAGCCACCAAAAATCTTGGAATCGCCCACTAAATCGTTCAGAACCCTTGTTGAAATTATACGTCTTCTCCCTCCCTGATATGAAAGTCATGCCTCAGAGAAGTTTGCAACAGTGAAATCATTCACGGACAGAGTTTCGCCGCCAATAATTAAAACGAATTTTCAATTTTTCTCCTTGATTTCCGATTCAATGCACCATACTTTTATGTCTAGATCTTACAAAACTGTGTGAATGGTTTGCGTGATAACACTGGCCCAATCTTTATCAACAGTTTAATCGAAAGATCTAAAGTGATTGGTGGAAAAATTATTGGTTAGCCATCAAGATTTGAAACCTTTGCGTTTCTTGATGTTTATCAATTGTGAACGGTGAAGGCGAGTTTTTAAAACTTTAAAACGGCACAAAGTTTTTTTTTAAGTTTGGTAACACCCTCTGAATTGAATACAACTGATGTATTTTGTAAACACGTTTTCTAAATTACTATCCTTTTTGCAAATCTTTAACCGTGACTTGATACATGAAACTTTGTTTGTCAGATGGCAGCACTTGAATGGAAAATTACCACAGAATGGCATTGTTGACAACGTCATTCATACAGAGACAGATTTTCGATTAGAGAAAAAGTTTTCGTGCCATGGATGTGTGGGACTGAAACTCGTAGGGACTAGAACGAAAATCACAGGTCATGTAAGGTGTAGTAGCTGTGTAGTTGGCGGGTTAATTGGCTAATTAAACCTGGCAAAAGTTTATGACACTGAGAAACAACATAACAATTTATTAAACTTTTTCCTAAACCTTAACACGTTGATTTTATTTCCATTTATTCGTTATAATTTAACAGCGAAATTTATTTTTCGTTAAACAAAGAAACATAAAAGATATAACTGCACTTTTTCATTATCTGCGCAAAATATAATCTCACTAAACTTAATACTTCAGCACGAAGGTTTGGTTTTTGTTGGTTTTGGTTTGGTTCGGTTTTGCGGGTTGGTTTTATCAACTGAGTTGATAATGTCAGTTGCCCTCCACATATTGTTTTAAAAGCTGACGTTTCGACAGTCATTTGCTCTGGCGAAGGGCTGACGCTCAAAATGTCAGCCCTTGAAACTCCTTACGGTGGCCAATTTGAACTAGCAACTAAGTGGATAATAACAAATTATTTTCTTATACTCCCTCACCGACGCAGCACCACAGTTTCTTTAGAAACTTAACCTCTTTATTCATTTATATTTTAGCTTCTTCCATTATTTAGGACTGAAGCCAGCTAACTAACCAAATAATCAACGAACCACTCATGATAGTTCGTCATAGTTCAAAAAACTGGCTTCTGTTTTCTTGCCTTGTCGATGATTCTTAAGCTGGCTATAGTTCTGTGTAGAGATAAAACGCATATGGTTAGGAACTTCACTGTAAACTTTTGTAAAATAATAACTATTCAGATATTATAATTAAAAGCTCGACATTATCTGTTAATATTGCTAGAAACTCAAAATATCAACACAATTTAAATCCAAAAGGGAATTCGAGGGATTCTGTTCCTCCTTTTCTCTCTAAGGAGGATTTAAAGAGGTTTTTACCTAACTAATTACAACCATTACAATTTTTTCAAATGTGATTGGTGCATTGGCTGCTTTATTTTTCTAATCATTTTGTACAGTTGCACTAGAACAGTGTGATTGGACAGTTAGCTGTAATCGGTCAGATGAAGCAGCCAATCATACTAAGTTCGCTGAGCTAAATCCACTATTCACAGAATCGATCACGATAACCATAGCAACAACCATTTAATTCGAGAGGAATCCAATTCGGTCTGAAATCATCCAAGCGATTAACAACTAGCAACTATCAACTGCTCATAGAGCCGAACCAAAAGAAAAGAAATGTAGACCATCAATAAGCTCTCAGCTCTTTTAAAGTTTTGACGTGAACTCAAGTTTAAGGCGTTTATCTATATATTTATCGTTATAAGGGTTCTAACGATGACTCTGTTGGCGTTATTTTTGTGCTCGATAATTCACGAATTTCAAGTCAGTTTCTCTGCAAGTTTTTCCCAAAATTGTAATGCGTAATTTTGATGTTCAAGCCCCTTTTTCTCGGAATTACTATCGGATAATCTTTCCTCTGTTGTACCGGGACTGTTGCTTCAACTCTGGTGTGGAGCATGTCTTTTTGCACCGCAGTCATGACATCTGACGTATCTCTTACACGACTTAATCCTCCTCTTTTTGGCAGTGTTTGGTGTTCGTGTTATGTTTTTTTCTTCCCCTTTTGTCACTAGTGTTTCCCTCAAGGTGATTTTATATATTTTATACCTAAACGCTGTACATTGATAAACCACGACAGCCTAGTTGCAGTTCTTCCGCGCTATTCTTCACTGTCTAATGGCTTTGATTCGTAGTCCTGGGGAAAATTTCCACTTGATAAATCACCTTTGCATGAGAGCAGGCCTGATTTCCCACCACAGAAATATACCTACACTTTTTCAAACAAAGCAAGGAGAAATTAGCTGTCAATCTTATATCATTCGAAAGTGTTAATTTTTAATCTCGTCATCAGTGAAATAACCCTTGAAGGCTTTATGACATATTTAAACCCCTTTAAAGCTTCCTACAAAGTTACCGATTTCATGTTCACTTGATGCATTCATCTTCGCTTCCATCACATGTCAATAACTATTCCTTATTCTCAATTTCTTAGACTTCGTCGTTTATGTAGTGACGGCTCTGATTATTTACAACAAAACAGAGGTAATGTGGCAGTTTTTCGAAAAACGTGGCTATCCTGTTTCTGTTGCTCAAGCAGGCCACCACAGCGCCAAAAAAATTGATCGACAGTCAGCACTACAAATGGTACAGAAGGAAAATATCGGTATTATTCCATTCACACTCAAATTCACCCTCACAATCAAGCAGTTAAATCCATCATTCTTAGAAACTTTAAAGTACTTCAAAAAGATCCCGAAATTGGTAGTATCTTTTCGCAGCCTCCTCTAATTTCATTCAAAAGCGACCACCTCATAAATAAATATTAAGTCTTCACTAAACAGCACGAAAACAGTTAAGCCTTTTGACAGATAAGTTTATTTGGGAGAGCCCGGCAAGAACCAAACGAAAACACTATAGGCAGGAAAACTGGGTAGGAACCGAGGCCTTAGCTACGGAAACTATAAACCCATCCTACGGAGGCTTAACAAAACTAGCCGATAGTAAAGCAAGACTTCACTAAAAATTTCATAACCCAAGCGATCCATCAAGATTAGAGATCATTTCACGTGCGCCTCCGCCAATGTCATCTATTGTATAACTTGTACTTATTGCAAAAAGACATGCATTGGCGAAACATAAGGACAGCTCCGTGACCCTTTCTGAGAACAACTTTGCGACGTAGAAAGGAATAATAAGGACGCATCCAAGCCATTTGTAGGATACTGAAACGGGTTATCTATTGCTTGAGGCAAATAAAGCCTTCAGACCCATCTAATTTTTTTTTCATCGTTTATTTAGTTTAACCTAAACAATGTTTTACAATTTTCATTTTCTGATACTCGTCCCTTTATATTCATTTAAAGACAATGTTAAGACTTTCCTTAATATTAAATGCGGTTTTAAGCGTTGTCAAAATTTAATCTCGTGGCGTTGTCAATGTCTTTTGGCCTGTTCACTTCTTTTCCACTGTCATGCCCTGTATTGATTTAAAAAGAAAAAGGGTATCAAGAAAATTTCTCGTCACATGAACCAGCACATTCCAGCTGGCTCTTTTTTTCCGAAACATCAGCTCTGTACTTACCAGACGATCGCAAAGATCGCAAGACCTCGGACAATTTTCTGCTGCATGATCGGTTTCGCAAAATGGAGGATTATAATTGCTATGCCGTTCACAATTACGTACAGAGTCCCTGCAAACTTCGGTTCCTTTGCCTCAACAAGGAAAGAGAGGAAGAAGAGGAAGAAGAAAAAATGAGTTGATTTAAAATAAAGTATGAATGACTCGTAAATAGAATTACAGAGATGGTAAGTTTTGAAACTTACCATATCTCTTATTCTATTTACAAACATGACGCTATCGACATTGCTGATTCTAGCAGTATGTAGGACGTGTGTCATATGAACTTCGTATTAGACCTCGCTCACCGTAGTCTCTGCGGCTCAGTTGTAGAGCATCGGAACGCGGAAACAGAAGGTCTTGGGTTCGATTCCTCATGGGGACTCGGGGAATTTTTTCTTTGTCCTACGCTAGTGACAAGACGTAAAACATATTTCTCCATCAATGACTCCTTTCCCATTTTCATAGTGAAAGAATACCAGGCGTCACGTGACATGAGTTAATTAATTCTGTGCTTGAGTGGTCATAAATCCTAAAGAAAGGTCGGAAAACTATTTCCTTCCAAAAAAAAGGATACAAAGACACTACACATTACCTGCAATCGGAAGTTTGCTTGGTGGAGGAACTGTGTAATCATTAGAGAAAAAAGAAAATATCAATTATCAATGAAAAAGACGCTTGTTAATGTATTGGCAACATTTTAAACGTAATCGTTGGCTTTTTTCTCTCTCATTTCTAACACGCATTCCTGGATTATTTCGAGAGCCGGAAAATAAAGCAAACTTTGAACAAACCGAAGCAATAAATGTCCTTTAAGTTTTCTTTGTTATTACTGTCTTCTTCCGCTTTTTACGACTCAATCACCGACGTTGCCCAAAAATTACGAACTTTGTAAGTCCACTCCACGTAATTTTTTTGCTTGCGCAGGATCATAGGAAGTAAGCCCGAACAGGCAAGTCAGGCCCAATTTATCTCGGTCTTACCCTTATTACCCTGACAGTATTGGTCAGGTGAGTTATTGTTGATTTTTGTTGTTGTTATTATTTACTTTTCTAATCATTTTTCTTCAGTCGCCATTCTTTCTTTATTATCGTTAACCTTGCACTGTATCGATTAACTTTCAACTGAAGACAAAGGCAATAAATTGGTAAGCTCTTTCTCTATTTCTGTATCAAAATGGAAATCACCCTTCTTACTTCCTAACAATTGGGTTAGCAATAGTTACCACAGAGATTCTGGTTTAGTTTGTCAGATAGCTGCTGGAAATATTCCAGGGCTTCATCTTCCTCCTTTACATCATCCATTGAATCGGTCATCAGCCTTAGTCTGCCTTTAGACGCCCGAGTTCCTATTGCCACGGCTATCACACGGACACCTGCTCTTCGCAAGGGCTCAGAGGTACTTAGCAAGCTTTTAGTGTCGTGGTCTTCGGATTGCATACCATCAGTCAGCACGACTGCAATCTTATACACGTCATCTCTTCCCTCTTTAAACACTAGTTTTGTTTCTACCAGGGCCTTGTCGATTAGTGTTCGACTGCCGATGCTTTTCATGTTTTGTACCATATCCTTAAATTGTTTTACGCTTAAGTTTTCACTGAATCGAGCCTTAACCTCAACTTTATCAGCGAACACAACCAGAGCTACTCGAGACTCATCAGCTCCTAGTTCTAGACCTTTTACCATTTTCTTTACAAGCATCTTTGCGTCTTCCAGAGCACGCACCCCAATAGTATCTGAAGAGTCGAAAACAAACGCCAGATCTACTGGGCATCCTGTATTGACATTAAACAAAACACATAATTAGGTCATAAACTGGATTTCATATTCTCCTACAAGTCTTACTGAAAACGAATTAAATAAAGTTCTCTGATTCGCCGGGTTTGTTTTAAATTCGTTTTTTTATTTTTATCTTCCCAGTGGTTCAAAACCTCATTGTAAACTATTCTGTTATTTTGTAATGCTTCTAAAGGATAATATGAAAAGATCACTTTCTTCTTTATGACGAACTATTACGAGGGGAACGAGACAACTTGGAAATCATATGAATACGTTTGAACATCAACACCAGCACCGTGTGTCAAGAGAAACAGAGTAAAAAACCTTTACTTTTTGTATTCAAAATTTACAGGAAGTTAGAATGCAGAAGAACAGATAATCTTTTATTGTGCAGAACTTTGACTTACGAGGGCATTCCTCTTCGTTGCATGTAATAGTCTCTTTGGCAGGCCCAATGCAAGCCTTTCCACATATATTAGGTGGAGGATGGGTGCAGCCTCTCGTGCGAGTCAAGGTTCCTCCTCCACATTTTGCATTGCACTCAGACTCAGACCAATCTGCGTAACGACCATCAATAACTGCAAATTGACCATGAAAGGGCAATAAGTATCATTGGATAATCAACCTCGTAGAAAATTACCATAACTGCCCTTTTCAGTAACATAGGAATGGCACGTAGTTGGGGAAAGATCTTATAAATTCGTCTTAATGCGTCAATCATGTTGCACATTTCTCAGGAAAGAGCTGTGATCTTTTGCGAGAGCTCAAAAGGTCATAACACAGCGTTATAATCGCTTAATTTCGTAGGACAAAAATTTCGAAAATCTGGCTTTTTCCGTCAGAATTCGCATGATTTTGAAAGAGGTAGTAGTTATAAAATCATGAATGATAATTATTGTAAGTCAATTTTATGAGTGTCATCTTACCAGGATTCTCTGTGCAACTCCTTGTTTCCTTATCAGCACCGATACAATCCTTTCCACATTTTGACGGGGGAGGTTTGGTACAGGTTCTTGTGCGGGTTTGGAATCCTTCTCCGCATGTTTTACTGCACGACGAAAACTTTGACCACGGTGTGTACTGGCCGTCAATAGGTGCTATAATGGTTGTCAAGAATAAAGATAACAGAGTGGGTTCTTTAAGGAAACGTGTTTTTCTTTTTACGATAAAACAATATACGAGATTTTCGAAAAAAAGATTTAAATGTGATACTAAAGGCAGAAATGATCCTCGCAGGAGAACTACATTTAGGCAAAGTGAAAAGAAGTCTGAGAAATTTAGGCTTCGACGAGATTCTTGTGCGAGCTTCCCAGCAACACCGGTTGGATGCGCGGCACTACACACTGAGACATGCGTTGGGGGGATTGTGAGCAACGGAAATTTTAGTAGGTTCTTCGACCTGCAAATGAAATTTTAGTGCAAAAATGAACCTTGCTGATGCAGTTTATGAAATAATTGATGAAATGAATGAAATTTACTTCTTTTGAATGGCAATCAAATTACTTATGGGAAAGTAGAAACCAATAGAATTTGCTTCGCTCCTAACTTGAAGCTACGTATCTCAGTTGCTAGCACTGAGCTGCTGACCACTATCTGGAATACACGGGTTCGAGTCCTGTCGAAAGCTTGAATTTCCTTTAAGGCTTCTTTTTTGCTTTTCTTGAAGTAATTTTTTGCGCTTAAATTTAACCTGCAGGTTGCAATAAAATTCATTTATAATATTTGTGATATGAATCATCATCATCATCATCATCATCATCATCATCACCATCTTGAAATTTAAAAAACTGTTCATTAAGTCACCCCTAAAAAGAACAAACAACAGCAACACAAAAACATATCAACTTCAGAATTCGTCATATGCTATTGCTTTTTCCTTTACATGCAGGCAACACTAAGACGTTTAAATAAAAGTGAGCACGTGACTCCACTATCACGAGCAATTTGACATGTGTTACATAAGACGTAAAGGGGCGGATAAAAATAAAATGACTGGTAGAGTTTTAACGTCTACTTACGACAGACTTTCCTCGTTAAATTATTGAGTTGATCGGAGAGATCCTCGAAATTCCCATATGTGGTTACATCTTTATCTTCCCCTGCTACCTTTTCCAAGTTCTCTCTAGCATCAGCACTGGATAATTCACTACCGATACCTGCGACGATTATTTTCACCCCTCTGCTCTAAGGAAAGAAAAATTTAAAATTATCCTTCCTCTGCTCTCGGGTCTTCTGGTAGGTAAATCCCATGGCTTAACTTTCAATTTTCAGTGCCGAGGTATTCCCAGTGCATAGATTCGCACCGAAAGTTATTCCTAAAATGTGTCTTGCTTGATATAGTCGGTATACCCCGAGTAACATACCCTTAATGACGACCTTCCCAATGAATATGAGCTAGTTTTCTAAAATGGAAGGTTGTTCAAGAAGCTGATAGAAAATGAAGAACGTGAACGAAGAAGAATGCTGAGTGTTAGGGTAGGTCTAATTTTTTTCTTAAAACATCATTATCCATGCAAGAGGAGTGAGTTAAAATAGCGCTGATATTAACATCCCTAACATTAGCTGAAACAAACCTTGAACAATGCTAAATTCAATGTTACATTTTATCACCTTCAAGATTCCTGTTGTGACATCGAAGTCAACTTCTGCCCTTTTATCTCATGTTTCATTAATCCAAAATTTTCCATCTGTAAGAATAATCATTATATTGCCGAAACTGGGTCGGTCTCCTCCACTGCGGGTGAACACGTCTTTCACTGCCAGGTCTTCGGCAAGGTCTGTACGGGTTCCGTCATGTTTCGGTACATAAGATATTGCCTCCTTTGCCTTTGCTTTTAAGGTGTCGGCATTGTGGTAATTTCTGTCTGCAAATGTAAAACTGCTCTTGGCTTCCGATCCAAAGGTTATAAGGGCCATGTGACTCCCTGTTGGAGATACTCTCAATTTGTCCACAATCTTTTTGAAGGTGTCGGTTAGCGTTTTTCGTTCTTCACAGCAACATCCAGGGAGCAAGGCTCTGAAATATTAAAACGATAAACTGTTAATTAGCAGTCAAATTCAAGTTTCAAAATTTCCCTTTCACCTAGGGGGCGATTGTTTTCAGTATCGACTGCAGCCCCCTACGAAGCCCACTGCTCATGTTACTAAGCAGTCCTCCAGCCATGGAGTTGTAGCCCACTGGCTGAGCTTTGGCAGGATATAAGGCTGATTGCGAATCATGCTAAACAGCGGAAAAAAAACAACAAACAAGACTTGCTTTTAATAAATCCCGTGAAAACAGTTGTGGCTTACCGAGGCAATCATCGTCGTTGTATTTGCTCATTTTAGGAGTCAGGAATCCAGGGTGATATTCT